ATATAGAAAATGGAGATCTTTAACAAGTGGGAAGATGATAAACAAAAAAAAAGATCAATGCATGATAAATGCAAAGATGACTCCATTTTGTCTATCTACATTCTTGAATATTTTCTTTTGTTTTTTAAAAATTGCATCAGAATAATGAATGAAGGTTAAACAGTCATTTCAACAAATTTCTTAATATCCGTGAATGTCTCAAAACATTAAACATATTGAAACGTGTAAAATACACATGATTTCTTTCTTTAAATACACGTGTAAAATAATTTTGAATTCATATAGAATTTGATTAAATAACCAAATCTTGTTTATAATATTTTGCCTTTATATACAAGTTTTTGTTCTCTCAATTTTCTCACCAAATTTTTTTAAAGTTCAAATTGCCATTAACGCTACTAGAAACTCAATGTACATCAAAATGTGGGAGTCGACTCATTCAATATTATTTATTTTTAACATTTGATTTATTTAAAATATTTTGGTAATATATATTTGTTTGCAGGCCAAATTTTTATTAATGTTGGACACGGTTTTATTTATTATAACATGAAAAATTTCTACAAAGTAAGCACGCATCCCTTCTAAAAATCAGAGAACTGATGGTACAAAGCTTCACCACTGGTGAACCTTGTCGCCGTGAAGCTTTTGGTGAGATTCAAGGTTTTGATTTCGTCAATTTCCACCAAAGATCCACTTCGAACTGGTAACATGCACTTTTGTGCTTCTAAATCACCGACTCATTATTCAAACTTAAAATTATCAGATAAGAAGAGCCGGATAAAATCTGAATAAATTGAAGATAGATTATAAAGCATAAGATTTACTAAATTCATTCCAAATCCACCAAAGTTAAATCATCTTCTCAAAAGAGACTTGACTCCATAGCCGATTACGGCTTTATCTCAGACGAGTAAGATTTACACGCTCGAGAGAAAAAAAAAAAATTTCCTAGGAAGCAAGATGAATTAAAGAAGATAGAGATGATAATTAAACATATATCCTAGGAAGAAAGATGAATTGAAGGAGATAGAGATGATAACTAAGCAAATGGAAAAGACATAAAATTTCATAAAAAATATGATATTTTTAAATTATGAATAAATATATGTCTATTTATGTGCCATCAATAGTGGAATTTGAATAATCCTTTCTAAAATGTTATTTCAAAATAATATATATGTGTGATCAAAGAAGAAATGTTAGTGAAACATAAATAAAGAACAAACGATGAAAATAAAGAAGAAAAAAACAATAAGTAATTATAATACATAAGAAAAATACCATTTGTCAAAGATAAAAAATATAAAAATACATAATTTCATATAAAATGTGATACTTCTAAATTATGAAAAAAATATATGTTTATTTATGTGCTATTAATAGTGGAATTTGAATAGTCATTTTCAAAATGTTATTTCAAAATGATATATGTATATGTAATCAAAGAAGAAATGTAAGTGAAAAATAAATAAACCAAAAAACGATGAAGACAAAGAAGAAGAAAAACAATAAGTAATCATAATACACAAGAAAAATACCATTTGTCAAAGATGAAAAATATAAAAATATATAAGATGAATATAAAAAAGAGAAAATGACAAATAATCATGCTATTGAAAGAGATTGAAAAACAATTGATAATTTATATCCTCAAAATGTTAATTGGTTATTTAAATAACATAATTTATTTAGTGTTAAATATAGGTAGATAGCAAAGTTTCAAACAAACATATTTATTTTTAAATAGTAACCATCGATATCGAAGTGATTTACCACCACTTCATATTTCATGCATAATAAATCTGAGAAACAATTAATTTAATTTTCAATCAAATCAATATTCTCATCGCTAAATTTTACAAAATCTTCAAATAAAAATTCGCGCATCGCGTGGGTCATATTATAGTGCAACCCATAAAACTTGCTTTCAAGTATATATAATTAACGTTTCTGTAGACAATTTTTTTAAATTGAAAAATTACTACATGCACCACCCATTTTCGAAAAAATATAGTTAGAAGTTTCATTGATTTTTTATATTTAAATTTGCCATGAAATCTGAATTGTTTTTAGAAATTTTAAATTCTTTACACAAATCAAAAAAATTTGGAACTTCATCATAGTAAAAAGATCAATATTTTTGAATAATTTGAAGATAAACAGAATGGTGCTTTTTTTTTCTTATGTTCTAACTGAATTATAGAACCAATAGCCATGATTTACAAAATGTTCAGTGAAAAAAAAAAGTTAAAACACATATATATAGGCTAAAAGATTTTTTCCAAAAGACGCAACCTTTAAAAATAGCCGTAAAGTGGTAATTTCGAAAAAAACGCAATCTTTGAAAATAACCTTAAAACGGTTATTTTGGAAAAACGCAACTCTTGACGAAACAATTATAATGAAAAGACACAACTCTTTAAAAATAATCATAAAACAATTATTTTGAAAAAACACAACTCTTGACAAAATAATTATAATAAAAAGACACAATTCTTGATAAAACAGTTATAATGAAAAGACGCAATTCTTAAAAAAACGGTTATAACCATAATGCAATTTTTTTTTAAAAAACCCTACCCTGGAGAAAAAGTTATAAATACAATACGTTTTTTCGAGTATACAGAATCCAAAAATATTTATTTGTTTCTATCTGTGTATTTTTTAATCATTTTCCCTCTAACAACGAATTTGTCATCCCAATGTCTATCGGTCTTCTGCTCCACCCATTGTCTCCTCATGTCCCACCTTCAACCTCGACCGGAGCTCCGTCATTCTCCGCCGCCGGTAACCATCACCGACATATTCTCTCTTTGTCTGAAACATGCTCCGACATGTCCCAGCTCAAGCAGCTCCACGCCTTCACTCTCCGTACCACTCTCCCCGACGAAACCGCCACTCTCTTTCTCTACGGCAGAATCCTCCAGCTTTCTTCCTCCTTCTCTGACGTCAATTACGCATTCCGAGTCTTCGATTCAATCGAACAAGAAAACCATACCTCCTTCATGTGGAACACACTCATCAGAGCATGTGCCCATGACGTGTCCAGGAAAGAAGAAGCCTTTCTGCTTTACCGGAAAATGTTAGAGAGAGGAAAATCTGCGCCGGATAAACACACGTTTCCGTTTGTCTTGAAAGCTTGCGCTTATATCTTCGGATTATCGGAAGGGAATCAGGTTCATTGTCAGATTGTGAAACACGGACTGAGTGGAGATGTGTATGTCAACAACGGTTTGATTCATTTGTATGGGTCTTGTGGATGTTTGGATTTAGCACAGAAAGTGTTTGATGAAATGCCTGAGAGAAGTCTTGTTTCATGGAATTCAATGATTGATGCTCTGGTTCAGGTAGGGGAGTATGATTCTGCGTTACAAATGTTTAGACAGATGCAGAGATCGTTCGAACCTGATGGATATACGATGCAGAGTGTT